AGGGAGGGCCCTGGGCAGCCAGGGCGAGGCGTACGGTCAGAAAGCGAGCCTGGCAACAGGGGCCCCCAGCAACCTGGTGCACACACGGGTGGCTCTCGGCCCCCGGCCCCTAGCTCCCATAGCAGCCTGGCACCACTGGGACCCTCAAGGGGGAAGGGGATGGGGTCGACGACCTTTGAGAGCTTCAGGATCAACATTCCTGGGAACACAGCACATGCCGGCAGGGTCTCCAACCCCGGTTTCTGCAACACGTTCCGGCCTGTGGACCACAAGGTGCAGAGGAAGGAGAACCCTTCGCCCCTCTTCTCCATTAAAAAGACAAAGCAGCTCAAGAGTGAGATCTATGACCCATTTGACCCCACCGGATCCGACTCAAGTCCCCCAAGCAGCAGCCCTGAAAGTCTGGGCTCTGGCCTCCTGCCCTCTGAGATCACAAGAACCATCTCCATCAACAGCCCGAAGGCCCCAACATTTCAGGCTGTGCGCTGCGTCACCTCCTACACAGTACAGAACGTCTTTGAGACGGAGCCTGAGCCTTCCCGGCCTTGCTCCAGCGTGCTCAAGCTCCAAGGTGAAGGGGCTGCCGAGGGGGGCTCTGACGTGGAGCGTGAGGGGCAGGATGAGGAGGAGCCTGTGGAGAGCCAGGGCTCTGCTGCCCAGGCACAGAGACTGTCACCCCCAGAGCCCTGGGACGATGACGACGTGGCATCCAGCGGCACCTTCTTTGGCTCTGAAAAACGGACAGTGACCTGTGTGACTGTCTTAGAGCCGGACCCCCCACCTAGCCCAGATGTGCCCCAGGCAACCACCCACAGGATTGTGGAGCTGCGGTCCCCATCCCGGTCCCGCTCCACCTCCAGCTCCCGCAGCAAGAAGAAAGTCAAAAGAAAGAGGGTGTCCAGTGAGCGCCGGAGGACGCGCTCTGGGACCCGCTCGGGTTCCAGGGATAGGAGCTCGCGGTCAGTGTCACCGTCAGTAAGTGAGGACCTCTCTAAGAGGCACCGGTCCAAGACCAAGAGCCGGAGGTCTTCCAGTGACCGCTCCAGCAGTCGTGAGAGGGCAAAGAGGAGGAAGGCCAAGGACAAGGAGAGGGAGCGGAGGAGAGGTTCCTGGGGCCGAGGCCGGAGGAAGTCCCGCTCACGCTCAGGGAGCCCAGGCAGCTCCTCCTATGAGCGCTATGAGAGCAGAAAGAAGAAGCAGCGGCGGTCGGGGTCCAGATCTCGGGGAAGGGAGTGCTCCCCGCCCAGCAGCCTGGAGAGGGTCCGTAGGCACAAGCACCAGCGGGAGAGGAGCCGAGAGCGACCAGACAGGAAGGAGCACACAGCCAGACCCCGAGAGAGGCGGAAGTGGAGGTCCCGGTCACCAAGCTCAGACCACAGGGCTCGGGAGCCTCGGCAGGAGCCTCGGCAGCC